TTAACTGGGGCTGGGCCCTTTCAGCAATAAAGATGATGCAGCCCCTTATGAATTACAGCTCTATCTAGGAAAACCACCCTTCAACTGGCTGGCTGTCCCACTTTGCCACTTCCTAAAGTTAAGAAGCCCAAGTAGCAGACACAGCTCTCTTCCCCCTCCCACTTAGCAAACCTCTACAGCTGCCACCCCATCCCCCCACAAACACATACCCCCTGAGCAGTCAAGGACCCCAAAGGTAGCAGAGGCAAGATTGGACAGAACTGACATGAAGTTTGGTGACAACACAGCAGGACTAAGCAAGGTTATTAGAGAAGGAAGGGTTACATTTGGGGCAGGTGTACTTACTGAATTGGGAGCAGCCAAGTGTGACAAGGAGAGCTCCTTCAACAGAAGTCAAAATAGCCTCTCACTTTTAAGGAAGTGGGCTACATTGTCACACATTCAAAGAAGAGAGATCAGGAGACATGCCAAAGAACTAGTCTTTTGCATATTTTATGTTTGTTTATTTAGCTTTGGGGATGGCAGTCCTAATTATCTTTCTCTTACAAATTGGGTAAGATGACAGCTGTTAAATAACAAGCTCACACAGCAAATAAGGAGGTGGGCTTTGTATTTTGGGTTACAGACTAAGGCCTATTAGAGTATCCCATAGTGCTACCACGACAAGCAATTCAAACTTACAGTGACACATTTTTATTGCATCTGAAAATTACAAAAAAAAACAAAAACACCCCACTAGATAAACAAGAGGAGGCAGAAGTAAGGCCGATGTACAGAAGTTAAGCGTAGATTTGAGCTACTTTTGAAAATGACGTGACACAAGCATTTCATACCTACATAATAAACTACTACCTCAGAGTTCTCAGTTCTATTCCTAGCTCAGTTACAAGCTTCCTCTATGCCCCTGAGCAAGCATCTATTTGTGCTTCACTTTCACGTGTAAGCAAAGTAACAATATAGACCTACATCCCTGGGGAGAAGTGCAAGATCACTTTTAAAACCTCTCTCAGCCAAAAGAAGCATAATTTTTCTGACACAAGAGAATAACAGGCCATCCCATACAGCTGAGAAATCATCCCCTCTAATTCTGTACAACGAAATGAGCAGGAGACATTTGGAGCAAAGGTGGAAAGAAGGAATATAAAGAAGAAAATGTAGCAACTTTTTCTTATCAAGAAGATCTCAGCTATTGAAGAATCCTATCAGCCAAGGAAAATTTGGTGGCAATAACTTCTAACAGCTGAATCCATAATAAAACATTTACTCTCTCCAATACCCAAACTTAAGTGTCTATCTGCTCATTTGTGCCACAAGTACGCCAAGTTGCTTTGGTAAAGAATCATGGCAATAGAGCAGGAACATGCTTGCCCACAAAGTAAAACTTACAAGTTCAGATAAATTTTATCTAGACAAGGCCATGTTCATAATGAAATCATTTAATATGTGATTTTCTGATATAGCTCAAGTAGGGAATTACAGAAAGAAGGACATGTGTTTTAAAGAAGTAAAATCATATTTAATGAGAGGGATTTCTGTTTGCAGAGTGTGAAAAGAGGTAAGAGAATCCTCCTGACCAACTGATAGACTGAAAAAGTAATGTCAACTGTCACACGCTGGTGTCTGCCTGGTGATTAATAACAACAACAAAAAACAACCCTTTGCTTACTGAAACCTAACTTCTCTCAGTTTTGCTAAATCAATTAATGCCTAAATCTCAAACAGGTCAACCTTTACTGGATCATTTTATAGACTTGCACATTTCAATTAAGGCTTGTCAATTTTAAGATCTCCAAAGTTTTAGCATTTTGCAGGAAACTATGCTGAAAGTTCCTTTGCTCCCTTGCTTACCATATACTGAGGAAATTCTATAGTGAGGCTCTTAAAGAATGCTGCCTGCCAAAAACCGATATGTCTGCTCTTAATTAAGAATATTTAAGTGTGTAGCAAGTTTCAAAGAGCTCTAAGAATTTCAGGCTTTCCACCAATGATCTTGCAAAACTGTTTTCAAGCAAAGTTTATTTTCCATTGACAAAAAAAAAAAAGCTCCTTTGTGCAGAACTGCAGAAATCGAAGACAACTAAATTTCCTTTTCACTGTGGCCTTTAAGCTTTTGTTCTTATTAAATTATATAGAGGTGCACCAATATATAAGATCACCACCAATAAAAGGAAAATTAACATCATCAGCCATTGCTTTTTTTGGCCGGTGTAGCCAATAATGTCACCAATAAATGTCGCATGCACAAGCACAGCTGTATGCATGCACATGGCCAGGAAGGCAGCCCAGCAGCTTGGAGAGCAGTTCCCTGCTGGTAAGTCTGTTGGACCGGGGGGGGGGGGGGGGGGGGAAACAGATCAAGGGC